CCGACACTGAGCCCTGCGATTCAACCCCAACATTGGCTGTCAACCTAAGGAAGTGACTGAAACAAACTTTCCCAATTAATGTTGCCTGATTGAAAAGCAGCCATTACAGATTATCAAATATTAAACCCAGCATTTTAGAAATGTAGAGTTTGCTTCATTAATCCTAGAGAATGGAGGTATCTCTGGGTGAAAATATTATTTCAATGAAATAACAGAAGTTTGGTTTTAGCTTTGAGTGATTTTCCATGAAGCATTTCCTCAGCATCTTTCCTCCAATGGCCAGGTAGAGCCTTGGCAAAGATCACCGCTCTGCCTCCTGAATGAAAACAGAGAATGAGGATGGGTGCTGCTGAGCTAAACTCTAACTTCATGGACAGTCAGAGCAGATGCACAGGAAGGAGAAATGCAGATTCAGGTCTGTTTTGCTGTTCTCCCATGTCCCTAGGTCTAGCTTAGTAGTAATTCCTCATGCACAATAACAAAATGCTGTAAGTTGCACAATCCTGCGAAGTTAAAACAAGCCCCCTCTCCTCCTTACCCTTTCCAGCAGCCTTCCTATCTGCAGGAAGGGGTGGGGAGGTAGAGGGCTGCTCCCCCTCCTCGCTCTTGTTTTGCCCTCAACCTCCCATAAGCTACTGACAAATATCAGATTGCTGTCTCAGCTGGAGCATTCACTAAACAAGAGATAAGGATTACTTATATAGGAACTCTAAACCCATCATCAAAATGTCTATAATTGCAGGAAAAGCCAGCTGTCCAAAATGTGGAGGCCTCAGCTGAGTTTTGCCCACAGCCTGGGGCTTTTGCTTTCACCTCGCCCTTGTACTTGTTCAAAGAAAAGAAAAAATCCACCTTTAGCTCAATTAGTGGGGGCAATTTCCTCTGGTAGTCTATGTCTCTAAGTACAAGAGCAAGCATCTGCGAATTAACTACATAAAGTACAAAATCCCAGATTTTGAAAGGCTTTCAGAGGTGATGCCTCTGTTTCAAGACTTGCCTCCCTACCTACTCCTGCAGATAGTGTGCAAAGCACTTCATCTTTCTCCCTTTGCTCTCTAGCTTGGTTTATTGAAGGTCTACCAAACACACATGCTTAAAAGAAACTTTTCATCAGCAGCAGGGCTTTTGTCAGGATACACAAACATAAGAGCAGGCATAAGCTACCTGTCTCCCAATATTGCCTCATTGCACTGTCTGTCTCTTTGTGATCTACTTTGCTTTCTTTGCACCCAACAGTGACCTAAACTCCTCAGCTATGAGATCTGGACTAATATTTCCAGCAGCTCATAAAAGCCAAAGTCAGGCAATAGCCCCTGTGCTTTGATATGTCAGAAGTGCTTGATCTCAGAAGCACGCCAGCCTGCCTATGAGTAACAAGGAATCATTTCTCATATACTTTCAGAGAAAGGAGGATAAATGGAGGTTCACGCCTGATAAAGCAGCCATCTCAGCCTATGATTGAGTCATGACAGCTTCTTCAACCATGATAGCACGGTATTAAGGAATTCTATTTCTATGCCCCTCAATTTTTCCTCTGCAGTTTCTTTTTGTGTTTTAAGCTCAGAGTTTTATTGGGTTTTATTTCCTCAGTCGTTATAAAAACTATGGATCATTTATACCTCTTGAAATTCCCAATGAGCAGTACAGTCTGTCCTGACTGATGTCGATTTTAAGTTGTTTTGCAGAAACTAAGAAAATGACAGACTGTGAACAGAAAGGAGTAGTTAAAGAGGACAGAGAGCCTGAAGGCTGCAAAGGTAGCCACTAATCAGATGAAAACTAAATCTCCAGGTTAAAAAACATGGATGGAAGCTTGTCATAAACAGGTGATTTATGTACAACTCAGATAAGGGATTAACAGACCACCAGTGCTATTAGTGAATTATATATCCATTAATTATTTCACTCATTATATTATTAATTACTGAAACTTAAATTTCATCCCAACTCATCTGAAGAAAAGATGATGTAATTTCTGTCCAACATTTTACTCCTTGTGCCACTGAAAGCAGTGACAGACTGACAGAGCTGCAGTGAAAGTAAATGAAGAGCAAAAAGCCATCCAGAAACAGTCAGTGCGCTCATACTGTATTGCATGCATCCATTACATGGCAAGAAAAGAAATGAAAAAGCAACTTCCTGTTCTTGTGAACAAAAATAGACATTTGAGTTTGGGTGTTACGGCTATAGTGCTCTTCTACTCTCATCTCTGTGCCTTTTTTCTGTACCACCCACAACACTCAGAACGGCTTCCAATTTCCTTTTTACCTAATGACCTAAATCTCCACAGAACCTATCTTCCCCTTGAATCCTTCCTACATCTGCCAGATTTGGCCTAGTGTCTTTGCACTATTTCATGGCCAAAAGCATCATCCTGGCACCAGCAATCTACATTAAGGAGTAGTATTTCCTCACACAAAGCGCTATGTGCATTTATGCAGCATGCAGTGGGAATCTTGAGGATGACTTCCCACATTACTCCCTGCATTCCTATAGCCTGCATTCTCTAGATTTCATTACAAAATCCTAATCCTCACACAGTCATGCCTGAATCTGTCTGCTGCTACAACTACAACACCAGCACGGTGATGAAGCAGCTGTATGGGGGGAATCCAAAAAAGTGCAGCAAGCTTCTTTTCTGCTCAACATGCATTTTGTCTCCCTCAAACTCATGTTACTTGCAGAAAAGCAAATAATTCATGGTCTCAAATATATATATGTTAATTTTGCTGTTAATGTTATTATTAATGTTTAATTAGTCTTTGCTCTGAAGATGAAAAACAGTGAAGCACATAAGTTAGGCTCCTGCAATTACTGTGATTGCACTCACAAAACCAGCTAATTGCACTTGCAAATTACAACTTAGCTATTTGCACATGTACTTCTGCAGTCTGCCGGCACCACCATGATAACTGTGGAGAGAGCCTAGGAAAAAAATAGGATGAATTATAGTAATTCTGTGGACGGTTATTGGGGCTTTGTTTCCCTTCATACACACGAGGTTTTTCTGATTCTGTTGGTGTGGCACAAGGGTTTTCAGATGATCGCATCCCATGATGCACGTGAGACCTGGAGCTGTTCAGGGGCTGTGGACTCCAGGAGGTGCTGTTCTGGTGTCCCTCAGCCAAAACAAGCAAAGAGAGGTCTCCAGGTGAGGTGGACATGGGCTTTCTCTCTCCACTGTGTCATCCCTAAGGGGAATTGCTTCTCCCTCTCCAGATGTGAAGTCTGGCAGGCTCATCTCCTCTGTGGTGCACCCACACTCATGAAAAGCTGCTGGCCCTCAACCTCTGCCTTCAGTGTTCAACTGTTTCCCAGCACTATGGTGGCTCAAAAGCTGCCTGTGGGGTAAATGAGCTCGGTGAAGCATAAAATAAAGCTCTCAGGCATGACTACTGCAGAACTCACATCCTGGGCTAAATGACTGGTTTAAGATAGTCTTTTCAGGACAGTCATACACAGTTTTCAATCCAATACAGCATGCTCAGAAACGCCAGTATGTCCTTTAGGAAGGTGGTGACACCAAGGTAGCTATGGCCTTTTACCTCTTTCATCTCCCCACGCCCTCAGGAAGAACCGAGCACTTGTACAGTGCACAGGTAGCACACCTAATTGCTCAGAGATCCCTGGGGTCTCCACCTGGCAACACTTAAACCCTTCACAGCAATGCAGAGAGGACTGGACTCATCAGTCACCTGAAGCTGCAAAGGAGAGTCTGCAGTGTCTCTGTGGCACAATTCATTCATATTTGACTACCTGTTTGACAGGACATTAACAAAAGTGTCAAGGGCTGTTAATTTTTGCTGATGATTCCTTATGAAATGCACATTATCTGGATGTCTGAAGGTAGCAGGAATGAAAGGATTGATCAAACCCCTTTTTTCTGAGGAGAGAATTTCAATATATCTGGTTTGCAGCAGTCATGTTCTTTAACAGCAGCATGGCTTTGAATCCTTTCCCCTCCCCCTTACAAAATTAAACATTTGCTTGTTTTTCTAATCTTGCTACAGACAGCCTCCACTGGTCACGCACAGAATTGAGGACATGATATTAAAATCAATCTGTCCCGCATACTCATCTAAACGGAGGGGAAAAAACAAAGCTACAGAGCAGAACTGCAGGACTGGAATAAAAACCAATAAAGTGCCCCCTCTCTAATTTCTTGGAAGGTCTTTCTCGAGTTTTATTCCCAACAGTGCTTCTTAGATGCCTCGGTTTGCCTGCAGAAACACTTGATATTTCTGTAGTGCAAATCAAAGTGAATTAAACATTAAAGCACTGTGATAGCATAGCAGGTCTGCTGTAGGAGAGAAACTGGTTAATGTGGCACTGAAGTTTATGAAGCAGTGGACTGGACTTTCCCTCCCCTCCTCCTTCTTCAGATGTATTTACTTATTTATTAGTTCATTCACGCATCCTTCAGTGCAAAGCAGCGAAATCTTTTTCCAGTATAACTCTCTAGTTATATTGGTCTGGCACTTCGAATTTTCTGCATATTGCATGACACAGTTACATACACACAAGCTGTGAGACAAGCTGCATTCTGATGTGTCCTCACAAATGGTGCTTTCCAATACTCCCTCATTAAAAGGCAGCACATTAAGTGAAGGATCCCAAACACTGCTCAGAAGAGGAATCCCTCTTCCTTTAATGGAATGCTGAGGAATGCATAAACACCCACGGCCTGAACATCATTACTACCAATCTTCTTCCATTCCAGGGTATAAAAAGCATCAAAGTGATGTCATATTGTTCTTAATCATCTTATTGATGTCGCCAGGTGAGCCCCTGGAGCACCTTGTGCTGATTCCCATTGTCTCATCTGACTCACAATGGAGCTGGCAGGCTGACCAGAGATGACAAGTTTTCTGCAGTCAGCTTTCTGCCTGGCTCCTTCTTCCCCTTTCTCGACCATAGACACTCCCTGATTGCTTTCCCTTGGCCAACCCTGCAAATGAGAGAGAAGCGAGGACTTGTAAACAAGGGGAGCCAGCACTCACCCAGGTACCAAAGGGTCTACAGTGGCTCCACACTCAGGAATAGTGAAGAGTTTGGCATCTGCACACACACAGCAAGAGCTGGAGCTTCCAGAAGGAAATTAAAGAAGTAATTCAGAGGAGCACACTGGAGAGCTAGTGAAGAGAAATAATTCTTAAGGCCCACTAAAGGGAGAGACTGTAGCCAGGGCCTTGACTTCTCTGTAGTAGAAATCTGCACTTCAATTAAGCCCAGAGGAAGTTTATCCACTGGAGCTGAATAATGAAACCATCATTCAAAATGATTTCATGTAACTTTTGAGGTTGGTTGCATTTTTTTCTTTTCAAGAGAGAAGCTGCAAGGCAGTTTAAAGCTCAACTGCATTAAGGTTCATGGGGGCTAGGTCATCTGGAGAAGCTCTGATTCCCTCTGGGCATTTTGATGATTCTGACTCCCCTCCCACGCATTTCCGTCTCTCTCTCAGCATGTCACATCCATGGCTATCAAGCCCTGACCAGCAAAGGCTGGGAAGGTGAACATCATTCACATTCCATCCTTATTCTATTTAGAAATATTTAGCAAGTTATCTCAAGATGCCTTTGATTAACTGTTTTGTTGGACAAAAAGTTCAAAGCCTGCTTCAGCACTGGTGATCCCATTCCTTGCCCTTGCTTTCCAACTGCAGACCTTAATTTCACACTTCAGAAGGATGATTTTGCATCATCAGAGAGATTCCTCTACATTTCTGTTATGGTCTTCCCTGCAATGCAGAGGAGATGCAACAGGTATTGGTATGTATGTGTATATCTTTATTTGGGTCACCTGTTGAGCACCTCAGCCAAATGACATTCAGCCACGTTCCTGACGAGAGGGGAGAGCACTCATACATAGGTTCCCACTGCCACTAGGAACAGACCTAATGCATACTATTTTTGGAAATAATATTTCCATCTTGAAAAAGAGAAGTGGGAAGGACATAGGAACATCCTAGGTGAGTGTTTGTTTTTGTGTTTTTTTTTTTTTATTTCAAGAGATAAATATACAGAACTCCACTGGAAGAAAGCCAAAAAGATCATAAATAACCTTGATCAGAAACTGGCAGATCAGGTTCATTTTCCTTTATTCCCCTGTTATTATTACTTTGAGGACAAAGTCTTCTGGAGCATTGAGGAAAACAAGCATCAAATGTGCTGTTGTAGTGATACTGATGTGAAAACAGGATGAAATTTTATATTTGAAGTTCATCTGTTCTCTTTCTGTATGCATTGTCCCTACATCTTCACTTTCTTTGAGAGCACGGTCACAGCAAGTACATGCTGTCAAGTATTTATTAAAATCCTTAGTTTCTTCTGCTCTCACTAACATCTTCCTCACTGACATCACAGCCTCTTTGACCTCGGTATTAGCCAGTGTCTACGAAAAGACTATTCCTCCCCTAAGAGTTTTATAATCTAAACACTCATGAAAAGCTGAGACACAAAGGACTGAACTAGCCTGCTTGCCAGAGCAGGCTACTAGCCAGGCACAGAATATATTCCATATCTCCTGTCTCTCAATAAGGATGGTGGCCTCTTGCCACACTGCTTCAAGCTCTGCAATAGCTTTCACCAATACTGCTTGAGATTCAGGCTGACCCAGAGAAGCTGGCTCTTCTCCACTACATTATGAGAAGCCAGAGGTCTACTAAAAACTTGCTGTTTCTTTCCCCCTGTCACTGGTTGGCATTACCCCTCAAGAGAGGTCCTGTGAGTAACCAAAAAAAAAATATTACTTGCTTAAACAGAGGATACAAAAACATAGGAAAGTGTACATATAGAGATTTGAGGAGAGGTTGTTTAAGTTTACCAATCTAGGTATTTAACTTCAGTTTTGAAATGTTCTCTCTGAATGAAGGTTTTTATTGACAGGAAATGTTTGGCTTTTTTCTCCTGAAAATCAATTCTGAGGAAAGTCTGTATACTACTCTGGAAAACTGCCGATTTAGAGAGCTACAAGGGGATAATGATGATCTGACACCACCCTCTCTCAAGAAAAAACAATAAAAAAAGCAAGTAACTTGATTCCCCAAGACACTGATGCACATAGTGTGGCTAGTCTCCTTTTTCACCCCTATAATCATTGCACTTCTCAACAGAGCCAAGGACATGAATTTTTACTAAGAACACTTCAAAAGCCCTCCCAATGTCCTACTCTCCTGAAGAGCAGCAGCTCCCTGCACACATGAAATTTCTGCTGAAGCTCAATTCCAGCTAAAGGTTACATGCCATCTATATCCCTGCACTGAACCTACCTCTTTTTTTCCCCTCAAGCAGCACCCCAAGTTTCACCCTCTCTCCTTACTGTATTCTTCCCTTCCATCGTTAGCATCCGTCGCACTAGGCCCAAATAACACCCACCTGTGTTCCTTTGCAGCCGTGATGCTTTATGACATCTTAGAGCACATGCTGTTGAACAGAACTAGATGAAACTATACCTTTTGCTGTAACTTCATGTAGGTGACTTCCATAAACAAAGCACTCCATATGTAACTTGTGGAAAAGCAGCAAGAAAAACTGAGGCCCACCTTTATCTCAGACAGGATCTGTTTTGCATCGTAGCTGTAGCATGAGTTTAGGATTTCTTACCCTGTTTATCTTCAGGAATTACCCAGCTATAAGAAATTTTATACTGGGAAAATCTAGCTTAATAATGGATCACATGAAAGCATCTGGTTAATACAGCATAGTCCATTTTTTCTCGTCAGTAATTCAGAACTCAGTGCAGAGGGAGAGAAGCACCAGAAGCTTTATTTAAATTGCCCTCTAGATAGAACTCCCCAGACTCATTTAGCATAAGCATAACTGCAACACATAGACAAAGCATGCTCCATATTACAGTATTACATGAACTAATGAAAGTTACTTTAGAATTACAGCATTGTAGAATGGTTTGGATTGGATGGGACCCTTAAAGAACATCAAGTTTTAACCCCCATGCCATGGGCAGGGACACCTTTTAATTGACCAGATTGCTCAAAGCCCCATCCATTCTGGTCTTCAGTGCTTCCAGGCATGGGGCATCCACAACTTCTCTGGACAGCCTGTTAAAGTAAATCACCACCCACAAGTAAATACTTTTTTCCTAATAGCTAATCTAAATCTACCCTTTGTCATATCTCTTCCACCCTTGTAAAAAGTCCCTCTCCAGCTCTCTTGTAGACATCTCTTAGGTACCAGAAAGTGCTATAAGGTCTCTTAGGAGCCTTCTCCTCTCTTGTCCAGGGTCTCTCAGTTCATCGGAGAGTGCTTCAGCACTCTGTTCATTTTGTGGTCCTCCTCTGGACTCCTTCCAACAGGTCGAGATACTTCGCATGAGTGATGATGGAACTGTTTGTACCATTGACAGAGTCCTTGCTAGCACGTAACTTGCATTTAAAAATACAAACAAAACCATAAAAGACACTAGAAACACAGGGACCACTGTGAAAGGACCCATGACAGGGTTTTATGATTATAATGGGAAATAGGAAATACTTTCATAGGCACAAATCTGGGAGACACTGAAGGGAGAACTTCTATATGCACATACTTTTAAGGGGTACAGACCTTTTTAAAGCACATTTCTAGCATTCCATTATTGAAAACCTCTTAAAATATTCAGACATGATTAGATCAAACATTTCCCTACAAAGCCCAATGAATGAGGTATGGCATTTCAGCTGTCTGAAAGACATGACTGCAAAGTGAAGCCTTGGGGACGGGAAGAGACTTTAAGCTTCACTGACATATACGCCATATAAAAGGCATGCTAGGCAGACTTTTTGGGTCAGTGGTAATCAGCAAGAACATTAAAGACTAGATGTACTGTAACCATGGAAAAAAATCTATTTATTCTCTAATAGCAGAAGCAGTCACAATGGTTGTGGTGAGCAGCCAAGTGAGGGGCCACTTACGCTCCAGCCGAGTCCTGCTGAAGCCAACGGTGCTACAACAACTACACCAGGGGTGAAGGCAGCTTGTCAGAGCCCCAAGACACCACTGTGCTCCTAAGCTGCATAGGCACGCTCTGCTTTGGCACAACCTGGCTAGGAGACAGCTTCAGCAAAGACAGATCTAATGAAAATGTTCCTCCCCACCAAAAGCACATCACTGAATGCAAAAGGGCACTGATGATCAGTATTGAACAAATGCATCACCAGCCCCCTGACTCACACACTAAGAAAAACTGTTGCACTTTATGAGGTGCTTGGTGTTGTTAAAATCAGATGCCAAGAGACTCAAATCCCTTGCTCAGGCTTGTATTCCTTTCTTGTTGTTCTGCTTGAAATTGAGCTATTAAAAGCAAGACAGTCTTGCTGACTGTCAAGTCATTCAAATCCCAGATTTCATTCCCCATTAAAACTGACAAATGACAAAATGACAAGAAACAGATCCTTATTTTACTCCAGCAGAGTTTTCTCCTCAAATTAATCATTCACACTATGAGCAATTAAAGAAAATTAAATCTACACATAGCACTTGGATAGATACTGCACTTCAGTACATGTAAACAGGCTCCAGCTTGCTTGAATGAGATTTTAATTACCTTATGGTCAACTGGAAATCTTATGTGGATGACATAGGGCCCTTTCCCAAACTTAAAACATACTACTTTAAAATAAGACCCATTCCTTCAAAGTAGGCCCTAAGTAACCAGACACAGCCTCTACAGAGTTTGTTCTTAGGTGTGGCTGGCTTAAAGGTTTATACCTCTGTTAAACTCGCATTAGGGAAAAATATCAGGACTTCACCATGAGTAAGATACGACAGAGGTTATAAAAAAACCTTTCAGCAAAGAAAGTTCCTTAAAATTAGTTTGAATACTTTTTTCTCCTGCTTTGTCCTCTCTAATGTCTGTCTGCCTCATCACTCGGTGCTACCATAGTCAAGGGGGCCAAAGCAAGTTTGATTTTGAGTGTTATTGACAGCAAACATCTCAGGAAAATCAGAAGAAAACTTAATGAAGAGATCACTTGAGGAAAATCCATAAAACCTTCCACCACGTGGTGAAGACACCACATGCTCCCACCTAGAACCTGAAGGGTCTGGCTCCAGACCTGCAAAGACCTTGCAATAGCACCTCGTTCACAGTCACAACTTGTGTCTCCTGCAAAGCCATCTGACAGGAGGATGCTACAAGTGCCAATATTTGCCTGCATGTCCCAGAGCCTTCATGATGGGCACAGCTACTTTTAATAGGAAGGCAAGGAAGCAGTCACTTGGCACTCAGCATGTGGGGAAATATCCAGCCAGACAAACAGAGCTATGGAATGCAACAAATAATCCAAGAACCAAAAGCCTGGGTTTAAGCAGGTACTTGGAGCTTCCACAATTCAAATTCTAATAGCACAGGCCCAAAATACAGACAAAAATGGAAAATAACATGGAGAGAAATCCAAAGCTTTGCCTCAATGAACGCATTTCCTAACTTTTAAGGAATGACAAAATTACCTACATGTCATGCAATTACTGACCACCTTTCCTTTCCTCTGCTCCTGGAGCCAGAGCACCTGCACACCATCACAACTTTACAGGTCTCATTTAGTGCGTGTTGTGAGAATTGTTATGTAAGACTGAGTTTATTGTTCCATCCTGGAAGTGCTCTGTGTTTCAGGAAGCCATCACCTGGTATTTGTTACCCCTCAGAACGAAGGTGTCAGGCGTATGATGCTGCTTTTTCAGCAAGTAAAGAGCCTCTTGCTGGCAGAGAAGCAAATGAGCAGCTTTCCCAGGAGTGTTTTTACAGGATGCCAGCTCAATATTTAAAAAAAAAAAAAAAGTCGAGGATTATGTATGATGAACAGCTGGAGAATGTTAAACATATTTTACTTTAGGTTTGGCAGGGTTTAGTAAATCATGATTTAATCACACTCCCAGGCCATCACTGCAAGTGAACTCTGGAAATGCTCAATAAGACATAAAGAAAGGATAAACAGAAGAATGGAAAAGACATTTTACCAGGAAGGACAGAGTAATTTGTTATTCAGTTTTGGAGAGAAACAAATGTGAAGACGTCTCAGAAATGAGGGATGAGAACATCTATGAAAGAACACCGTGTCACCTTCCTCCCTCAATCACGGGCACGCTTCAGCTGCAAACCTGGCCTGGACCTCTGGCTGGGTGTCCCCACTGCACACACACAGGCACACTCAGAGTTGTAGGCTCCAGAATGAGAACTGCCTGTTCTTTATTCTAATAAGTCTTCGATGTCTGGAAACGCTGCCAGCTTTTTCAATCAGCTAGGCAGTGCATGAGCCCAGATAAATTAAAATTAGTTCCATGAAAGTTTTGAGGAATACTGTCATATGCTTACTGAAAATTAAGGGACAAATCAGTGAAAGCTGTGAAACTGACTTCAGTGGCACAGTGTTGAGCTGTCTGAACTCTGCATTTACCTTACTTGAGCAATTTCAGTAGCTGTAATAGCTAAGCCAACGCCCTGATTGATTCTTTATTAACAGCAATTGTTCATTTTTTGTGGTTTCATTACCTTCTAGAAGCCAAAGGTTTATAGATTCTGGGCTAAATTCAGAAGCAAGGCTTGTAAAACTGATACAAACTATACTTGCATAAATTATGTTCTACAAAATCTTCTTATGTCCAAAAGAAATGGGAAAACAAACTGTTAAACTGAAGGTCAAAGTGATTATATGTGATTCATTGCACAAGCCACACAATCTTCTGGCCTACTAACTGCTTGTGTGAACCAAAGACCCTCACTAGGTCAGACCAACATTCTGTGCAGCTCAGCAGCCTTCCCTCTGTCCTTTGATGGGATTTTAGGTTACAGGACACTCTCTTACATGGGTGAGACAGTGCAGGAGCTGGTTCCATCCACTCTACACAAATCTAATGTGGCAGCACCTCCCAAAAAAAAAAAAAAATAACATCACCAAAAGTTACCTAAGCTGAAAGAACATGCAATGACTTTTCTCCAGAGCACCCTGTTTCCAGCAATGTGTCCCTCTGGAATTTCCTGGAACGGAGCAGATGCCCCTGTATTTATGAGTGTTCAGCAGATCTCATTTTCATTAGTGGCCCAAAAGTTTAGGTGAGGAGCTCCCCAGCTGGCCAAGGATTCACCTGACATAGCCTTGAACTTGTCACTTGCTAATTTGTTTTTATGTTTCCAACAGTCCTCTAAAGCAAGCAACTCTTCTGGTTTCCTTGGTGACAAGCTACAGCAATTGAGGCTTCTGGTCAACAGCCTAATAGAGTAAACTTTATGCGGCTTTAATGTCAACATTTCCACTTTTCTTAAAATAATTATTTCACAAGAAAATAGCATAAAAATTAAGAGTTCATTTTCCAGATTAATTTTTTCACGGACTTGTGCCTTTTTACAATATA